TTGCAGCAGCATGAATGGACCTAGAGATTATCATACTAAGTGAAGTAAGTCAGACAGAGAAAGACAAATATCATATGATATCATCACTTATATGTGGAATCTAAAAAAATGATACAAACAATGACTTTAAATATGAAGTTCAAGCATCTCCCCTGAACTCCATACTTATATAGCCCAACTGCTAGGGAACGTTTCCACTTGAATATTATAATAGGACTCAAACTAAATAGGCCCTGCATTGACTACCTCCTACCCCCGCCCCAAAGATGTTTTTCCACAGTCTTCTTATCAGTTAGTGGAAATTTCACCTTCCAATTGCTGAGTCTCCAAATTTCAAATAATCTATTACTCTTTTTTTTCTCTTCCATCACTTTCCCAACTCATCAAGAAATCCTATTGACCCATTTTTTCATACGTATAGATTCCAATCACTTTTTACCATCTCCACTGCTCCTACCCTGGTCTAAGCCACCATTTCTTTTCTAGATTATTACAAACGCTTCCTAAGTGGTCACCTGTGTTTTCCTTTGCTCCCTTTTATCCATTCTCCATGCATCAGCCATAGCGAACCTGTTAAAATATGTCAAATTACGTTACTCCAAAGGCATTCTATACAAGTCGGAATAAAAGTCTAAATCTTTATGATATGGCCAACCAAAGTCCTACTGAATTAGGCTGCATGTAACCTATTTCACTTCCACTATTAATATCCTCCTCAGTACCTACTTCCTCTCTAGCGCATTGACCTTCCTGCTCTTCCTGGTAACCCTCAGGCACGTCCCCCATCGCCTTTTGCACTTTCTGCGGTGTTATTTATCCATCACCTAGTACAATGCATGGCACAAAGTAGACATTCAAAAGATATGGAATTTATTCAGTAAACATGGAATGAATGAATAGATAAATAATGGAATCATTCATTAAATACTGATTTATACTAGGTCTTGGAGATTTAAAAAAAAAAAAAAAGAGCATCGTCTTTCATTTGGGAGACGGACAAGTAAAGGGCAATCCCCACACTATGTTTAAGTGCTCACGTAGGACTTAGATAATATGCTATCTGAAAACAAAATGGGAGCAGTACCTCCTTCACTCTTGAGGTTAGGAAAGATTCTCAGAAGAAATAATACTTGAACAAAGCCCCCAAAGTTGAATAGGAACTGTCCAGATAAAGACAGCAGGTAAGAGGAGTGTAGCCTTCGGGGAACTGTAGTCCTGCAGTGGGATTGGAGTAGCTTGTGAAGGATCAAGCATTCACAAGTGGAAAAGTAATCAGGGGCTAGCTGTGAAAGGCCCTATATACCCTGGTAGGTGAAATAGACAATGAAGAGTCTTAAGCAAGGGAGTGAGTTGATCACATCTGTTTTAAAAAGATAATAACGGATCTAATATGGAGCATGGGTTGGCCTTGGGCAAGCCTGGATAAGGAACATTGGATAAAACTTTACTGTGGATACATAAGGAAGAGATGAAAGTGGACAAAACTAAGATGCAGAGGAAGGCAACATAAACGGGCTCTGCTAAGTCAGGGCTGCATGACTGCTGCATTCAGCTACGAGACAGGACAAGCAAGCTCACACACTGTGGTCTGCAGGACCACCTGGCATCTGTATTGCATGGAATGTGAGAACAGCTGCTGCTAAGCATGGGCACACTCAATTTGTGTAAACAGTTTGCATCAAACACCATCAGTCTCAAAGATTTGCCTGCAGGCACATAGGAAAGTATGATGTTTTACGCAGAGTAAGGCTGTACTCGGTTATGTTCATTCATTCACTCATTCACAAATGTTTATTGAGTAGCAGCAAGGGCCAGATACCCTTGTAAGGATGGTGGAGACAGCAGTGAACATCTGCCCTCGTGGAGATGATATTCTGATGGAGAGAGATCAAAATGAACAGATGTCCACAGTAGTGGGTCAGATGGTGATACATGTTATGGAGACTTAAGAGGGTGGTGAGGGGTTAGGAAAAGCCAGGGGAAGGAGGAAGGAAGTCTGAACTGTTAGAAGGGAGACTGGGAATGACTACCCTGACAAACCTTTGAACAAGGCTTTCAGGAGACAGGAGAATCCAAGCAGGCAGCTCTCCGGATATCTGAGCAAAGGGAAAATTCACATCTTTCCATGATGTTTTCAGTCCAAATATGTGACTGGTTTTAGGGCATCCTTTGTCTTACTCATGAAAGGTCTATTTCTACCTTATTCCCCCTCAGAATTTCTCAGCTTCTTATACTTTCTGAGAGACAGAGCAAAGCCACGGGTGTGAACGAGGTCCTTCCCTGGGAGCTGGTGGGTCCTCTCCTGGGGGTGACATATGGGCACATCTCTCAGGCACGGCTGTCATGTCCACAACCCTACGTCTAGCCAACCTCAGCTGTGCCTTTGTTTAGATGTTATTTTGTTTCAAGATAAAAATAGTCGCATTTTTTCTTTATAAATATAATATATACACATAAAGTAATTTTAGAAGGAACGATAATAAGTATACAAGTAAAATAAAAACCACTTGTTTTCCATCCAGAAATAAGCAACTTTTCTATCGGAGGTCTTGACATTCCAGATAACCCTGAATTGGAGGTGGATGGGACACACGTGTTTAAATAAAGCAGACACCCTCATTTTTTTCTTTGAACAGAATTCCATTGTATGAATGTAACACTCAGCTCCTTGGATGCCATGTTCTTTCAGAGGCGACACACTGCTCTTTCAGACCCGGCAGAGGTTGGAATGTTCTAGTACCAAATGCTCTCTGCCTCTATTTTCATGACCATATAAATATATATATTTTTTCTGGAACATGCAGTGATGTAATATGACTGGGGGAGATCTTTACCTGAGCCATTATAAACGGAAAATTTAGAATTTATATATTTGAATAAACAGCTCTGCTGGGGACTTGAACATAAAGTCAACATACACATAGTAAGACAACTATTCTGTATTGACATTCACTGACATCATTGAGAAAGTTGCCTAAAGTCTCTGAGCCTCAGGTTCTTGTGATTATAATATACGCCTTTGGAGATCTCAGTTTGTTAGCAAGGAAGATGACATAAGTGAAAAGACCTTGTGACTGCAGAATGCCACACAAATTCAAGGGTGTTATTAATTATTAAGAGAGTCCTTAAGTATCTTAAATCTCCTGTTTTAAATGCAACTCTAAAAGCTTCCACCTTCTAACTACAGGAAGTCGAAAGGACCAAAAACTCTAACATTAAACTACAGCGCCCCCTAGCCCACGTAGGCCGTCAAGACACCTGATGAGCTTCAGGAATAAGCTCTACCACAGATGGTTCTTTTGCCTGAGGGAAAGGCCAATAATTGTACTTTTGGATGATTTCCATCTGTCCAAAAGGAAAACCACTTATGTGTTTTCTTCAGGATTTTCCTGTAACATTCTTTTTAGTTTTAATTTTAAAATAGGAGTAAAAAAAGTAAATATTCTTTACTATTGACATTTTCTTCCTCCAAATTGCTTTAAATGAAGACTATTTCTAAAAGAGCATCACCAGATTTATCCTAAGACTCGCTGTAATGTTTCTGATTTATATATGATTATCTATTTGCATTCACCAAATTCTTTGTAATCCACTGCAAGATTGCAGAGCAAGCTGTTATGAGCTTCAGCCCCCCCCCCCCCCCCCCCCCAGTGTATTAAACCCATCAACAGACACAGAACTGTGCAAGGAAAGACCATGGAATATTTTAATATCACAATGGAGAAATATTGGCTACCATGGCTTACCAAAACTCCTATTAAAATATATCAATTGCTTGCTTCCATAGGCTACAGTTCTTTATCTTCAGTTCTTTATTTTTTTTAATTTTTATTTGGTTTTTTCTTTTTTTTAATATTCTTTTCCATTATGGTTTATCAATATCTTCAGTTCTTAGTTTAATAGATTTTTGTAGAAATGTTTAAGTTTAAATGGTCCAGTAGGTAAGTTGGACCCCAAAGAGATGAGCCCTTATGAAACTGAACTTGCTCTATGGGTTTATTTTCAGTGCAGAGCATTGAAATATTAATCAGTCCAGCTTTCAGGGATTTCTTTTTAACATCCTTTTCTATGTAAGGGCTAAGCTTCTTGGCTAAGCTTTGCCTTTCTCGACTGTTCATCTCAAATGTAATGGGAGTGCTTGTGTGTGTGTGTCTATATTATACTGGTGACCAGACTTGAATTATGACACAATTCTGGTTATCTTTCAGGCTAAAATGTCTCTCCCTTTTAGGGGTCAGGGATCATTTCAGCCTCAGTGTCCTTTCTACTACCTGCTTCGGGAGGCAGCAAATGTGATCTCGTGCAGGTGCGAGGTGACTTTCATCACCAGTTATTTTTCTTTACATTTCTCTATCAACCTAGCTCAGAAAATACTCAAGAAATAAAAACAACTCTTCACCAACTGCTGGGTTCCTGTGATCTGATCACTTCTCAGTGGAAACCTGTATTACCGTAGCATGGTCCCTGGAGTCTTTTAGGTAAACCATCACAGACAACAACCAACCCTCAAGCCTACAGCAAAGAGAATGCAGGCACAAGGCACCATTCCCCTTCCTACTGCCTTTTAAACTTGGGAGGGGAGACTCAGTTGGGGCGGGGATGCTGCCATTCGCGGGAGGGGCGGGATAAAAGTGTGTCTAATGACACGTCAGTGACAGAAGTCGCCTTAACCCTGTCCCCTCCCGCCCCCCCCCCCCCCCCCCCCGGCCCCCTCCCCCCCCCCCCCCCCCCCCCCCCGCCGGTGAATTTCTCCCCCCGTGCGCGCCTCAGTGCCTCTGGAGACCCTTCTCTCTTTAAGACAGCCTCCCGCGCCCCTCACTCCGCCCCCTCCCAGGTCTCTGGGCTCGTCAACGCTTCCCGAGCACCATGGTTGGTCCAGGCAGGCAATCGAAGCACCTCCCGGAGCCGCGGCGAACCGGGGGTGGGGTGGGGTGGAGTGTGGGGGGGGTCTGTTTGTAGTACTCTCAGTCCTGATGTCACAGGCGCAGCAAGGACATCGCAAGGAGGAGTCGGATTACAGTAAGGATGGGCAGTGCAGCAGGCAGCCCGAGTGCACGCTCCAGCCGCCGGGGACCGTAGCCCGGGAAAGGCGGCCCGCGAGGCGCTCATCCCGCGGCGGAGGCGGCACGCTCGGCGCCCCTGCTCTCCACGCCGGGGACGTTTCCGCCGAATGTAGCATGAAACGGGTTGGCTCTGCGCGGCAGCCCTGGGTGCGAGCTGATGCTGAAGACGCCGCGGTGGGGTTCCGGCTGTCTGATTAATGAGAAGCATAATGTATTTTGGTGAGTGTTCACGCTGATGATGTCATGCTGAGGGTGCCCAGCTCTTCATCAGGGCAGACAAGCCCTTTCGAAAATCTCGGCAAAGCCTCGAGAATCTATTCCAGTAAACCTACCTTCAGCAGGCAACTGGAGGACCCAGCTGGTGCAGCCCTAGGAGCTTCCTTTGTGCTACGATCGGGGCTGTTTGTTAGTCGTAGAGGAGTTGAAGTTGGAAGAGGAAAGGGGCAGGGGTGAGGGTGGCTAAACTTTGCCTTGATTTGTGTGATGAAGTTGATTTTTTTTTTTAGCTAGGTGAGGAAGGAGAAATGGTGCGGCGTGGGAAAGTCATGGGCAAACTCAATGGAATGTAAAAGTTCTGTACTATGGACGCTGTGGAAGCTTAGTCAATATCTACGGTTCATTAAGCATTTTGGTTTTCCCCTAATTCTGAGGCAGAAAGGGAAAGAAAACATTCTTTGGTGTGCGGTGCTTGGACAGCTGAGAGCACCCTTCCACAGCATCCCAGTTTTCCATCCAGCTAGAGCATCCTGGCACAAAATGCATATTATTTTAAACCTTTAGAGGTCTTGGAGCTGTTAAAGGTTTGTGCAGTTTAGTTGCGTGCCGTGGTGGAAACCTCCCTTAGGTTTTCTGCGGAGCTGCCTGCCCTTCCAGAAAACACGTTGAGGCTTAGATCTGGGCTCTTAGTGGAGCAGTGTAAGTGGGCTGGGAGCTGCACATTTGCACTGTAACGCTGCAACTTACTGATGGGGAGAAGGCAAAACCCTTCCCTAAATACGAAGCCAAGGATTAGACGGAATATCCTTTCCTCCTCCCTGAAGTTATGCTTTCCTTCTGTAAGTTTCATCCCGCATCATCACCTAAGGGCATCTCTCTGATATTAAAAGGTTTGTGAGAGCAGCTGAAGAGGGGTGAGGGTTCCATGATGCAAATGCTCTGGGTGATCAGTTGCCTTGCTTGGAAATATGTAAGCTAGAGTCATTTTTCAATTAAAGAGGTTATTTCGAGAAACTTGGGGCAGTATTAGTTTCTCGGTTGTTTATTGCTGTGCGTACTGTTTGCTTTGTTTTGTTCGCTCGAGCCTTTGAAACGTTTGCCAAAGTATGCAGAAGCTGAGTGCTTTTTAGTTGTCTTGACAGCAGTTTTGATTTCCCTTTAATTTGCGTCATGTTAGGAAAGAAGTCTTAAAAATAACTAAAATCGATTTTAAAGAAAGGCTCCTCATTGGAGAGACACATTTAAGCAGAATCCAGAGTTAACACTCTTTCCAGGGGGTAGTGATAGAGGTGGTAAGCGTGTGAATTGACAATTCATAAAATAGCAAGTGTTTATTGTGAATGTTTCTGACACGCTCAAAAGCTTGTAAAGATAATATGCCTTTTGGACAAAATAACATTTCAGCATCTGTACTGGTATTTGAGAGATGGAAAGGAAGATTTTAATTTTAGCTTAAGTTTTCAACCTCTTGCAACAATGCCTAAGGTGATGGTGGTGAGGATGTAGTGTTAACCAGAGCAGTGGTGTAAAAGTACTGGTCCAGAGGCCATCCGTGCTGTACTGGATTTTCCTGTGTCTCTTGGAGAAATATTCACTGGGCTAGCTCGTATTATTAACTGCATGCTAGTCCAGCCGTTTTGTAAAGCAGGGTGATTCACAGGGCAATTAGTTTCACTGTGTAATGCAAGTTTTTAATAGCACACATTGAAATATGATGTCCTGCTTCAGATGAAACTATACTCTTTTAAAGGCAAGGCTAAAGTTGCCCTCTGTGTCATGAGCACGGTTCGGTCTTACCATAATTCCGGCGTGAGATACGGTTTTATATTCTCGGAGGAAATCGTGTGTATTTAGGAATGCTGTTTCTTTCAGGTTCTGTTATGCAGCCCCTCGCTCAAGCTGTTTGGCATCCAGAGCTCTGGGAGCCCACCTGTCTCTCATAAAATGTGTGGTCCACGATCTAGGGTCAGAATTGACAATACGACCCAGGCGTGTTAAGATTCAACAGCATTTTAATGTTGCAAATCCTAAACAGTATGTATGTCTGTGTGTATGTACGTAGGCACATACGTGTATTTATGTGTGTGTAGCTATTTCAGGTAATTTTTTTCAAAACAGTGCTTTCACTTTGCAGTTTGGTCACCCGTGACTTTCTTCTTCATATTTGAACTGCAGAGGGTTTATCAGGTCAGGGAGAACAGGGACAAAAGGAAAGCAGGGCTGAATTCTTGGGCTTTTCTGGTGATTTGCGGGAATGGGGTAGAGGTGTCAGAAGTCTTTTATTTGTGTCCCCAGCAGGGAGTGATGGAGAGCGTGGTGTTGCTCTAACACCCTGGGAATTGATATGCAAGGAGGGTATTTACTTCCCTTGTAAATAATCTAATTTGTCAGTTTTGCTCGCCTGCTACACCTTTCAAGTTTCACTGAAGACTCATTGCCTGGACAGACTGGCCCAGCCTCTGCTTCTCTGTAGACCCTTTCCCCTTAGGGGCTGGACACTGTGACCCTGTCCTTTCTCAGCTGGAGTCAGCTGTGTGTGTGCAAGTTGGTGGAATAAGTAATATTTCCAGTTCTCCAGAATAACTCGTGTTTTGAGTGTGCTGTCTCAGACTCACGAGGCTAATGGACCCTTTTAATGACTTAAGCCTCACTCTTATCTCCTACTGAAATTTTAGTGCAGTGTTTTCAATAATTGTTCATCTGCACTTACTGCACAGTAATTTAAGAGTTTGCTGTTCAGTCACCGTGGATACGTCTGTTACTTATTCTGTCGATCTCGCATTCATTACTTGGAGTTAAGAATCAGGTTCACACGGGAGAAAGAAGAGAGGAGAAATCCCAGCAAGCAACCTGATTGGGATTTACTGTAAAAGCAAGGGAAAATCATAAAGACTTGTGAAGTTACCCTCTCCACCCGCAGGAATATTTGACAGACTTAAAAATGGCATGTGCCGAGGATGAAGAACCGTTAACAATTGATCCGGAAATAGAGAGTTCCCTGGTGGTCCAGTGGTTAGGACTCTGCGCTTTCACTGCCGAGGGCCCGGGTTCAATCCCGGGTTGGGGAACTAAGATCCCACATGTGGCAAAAAAAAAAAAAAAAAAAAAAGTAGTATTATGATCCCCGGTTTGCAAATGAGACCTAGAGATAATAAATAAGAAAATAAATTTTTAAAAAATTGATCCGCAAATAACAAGAAGCATCTGGGAGACTTCTCACTGGATGAAGGGAGCGGTCCTGGCTGGCTGTGAGTACAGCAGACCTGCCCCATGCCACCTGGTTACAGTTGGGTCAGGGGACAGTGCTGGCATGAAGGGCAGGTACATCCCAGCAGAAGGCTGTAACCATGTACTGTCTCCAGTATGTCTGAATCATCTTCCCCTTCCATCTGGCTGCACACATTTCTCCACTACTGGAGTGATGAATGGCTGCCCGTGGTCCTGCCAACCTCACAAACTGTCCACAGTTTGCCAGAGAGGTGTCATGTCACAGCCCTTTGCCATCAGGAGAGAAAATGGGAGCCTGATGGCACTGAGGAAATTCGATGTGCCCGAAAATCAACCAGATGGAGATTCTGGGGTACTTACAGCCAAGCAGGGGTGAGGGCTTGCTCCCTGAGAATCCTGCTGCAAAAAGAAAGGATGCATCTTAAACAAATGAATAGAACTTGAGACAAACATTAGAGCTCCCTCTCAATGCTACTATTCATGGCATATTCATTAAACCTGGAGAAAAGGGCGAGCAAAATTTAGAAAGTGCGAATGAGCCGTTCAAGTGCAGCGTGGTGCTAATTGTGAATCAGCTGTCTTCCTTAAAATGCCTTAGAAAAACCTGAAAAAGACTTAGCGCTGTGCATATCATAACAAGAAATACTTGATGGAGGAAGCTTTTAATACAACAGTTAGAAAAAAAGATCTCGTAGGAAAATTCTAGACCAGCAGCCTATTCCCCTGCCTATAATAGACACGTTTATACATTGTCATAGGAAGGACTTTGTTTTTCCGCTGGGATGTTTAGAACATTCTCCAGTCAGCGTTTACACTTTTGCTTGTGTTAGAAAAGCAGTTAGGCGGCAAGGCTACAAGGAAGGAAATGAGCAGAAAACAGCAGGCAGCAGAGAAAAACATTCCTCTTGTGTGTGTGTTTTCAGTGGAAACATTTAACTCATCCTAATTAGTTGGTACTAGGTGATCTGTTATGGGGAATTAGGTCTACTTGAGTCCCTCAGGCACTCTGGACGTGTTTCTATTTCCCCCGAGGTTGCCAGCGGGAGAGAATAATTCAGGAAGGAATTTGTTCGCCCAGGTTACCCTTTTTGAAGTTTGAAGTCATTACCATTGTGTGTTATTACAAATTAATCTAAATGACATGCAATCAATTACTACATAACAGGGATGGCGGATGTGACAGGTGAATATTGTCAGAAAGCATCAGATGCAGGAAACTGAAATCTAAGAGAACCCTCTCAAGACATTTCTCTTTCAGATTCATAGGAATTTCTCATTTTCGGGAACCAAATTCCAAGGATGATCAAAATGTCAGTAACATGGATTCTTTAATTAGGACCCTTAAATTTTGAGCTAAGTTTTTCTTCTTTTTTAAAGGGCCTTCTTAGTTGCTGTAATTACATGGAAACGAGATGAGTTTATTTAAGGGACAAGTTCCAAAATTCATGAGATAATGACGACTTGCAAAGTTACCCTTTTGTGGGTGGCATAATTGTTCCAAAAAACAAGTGAAAAATTTAAATTAGTGTTTTCTGACTTCCACTGCAGAATATTTGGTCACAGCTGCTTTTGACTGAAATCTCCCTTGATAAGACCAGGTGTGTTGGCTAGAATATATGTGTGCGTGTGTGTGCGCGTGTGCGTGTGTGTGTGAGTGTAACACTGGATCCTAAAACAGTGCCTTGTTATATAAATACCCAAATTTTATTTCTCATTCACATCTTCTGTATATTCGTAAATCTTTTCACATCATTTGAAAGGTAAAACTTTAAGTA